CTTTTAAAATTTTCAATAAATCTTTTTAAGATTTTTAATAAATTTCTTAGAAATACTTATAAAATCTCAAATAAATAGCTAATGGTAAGAGAGTTTAAAACCCACTTTAAAGCTTAAGCTCCAATGATGGCTTCCTATATACCAAAAATAAATAAATGTATAGGGATTCATGTAATATAATCTGGATCATTGTTTTGAAAATCGGACCGAATAAATCGGTTGAATCGGTTTGATTGATACTTAGTAGTAAAAATGAGTCGAGTTGATATTTAAAACCCTTTAAGCAATTAAACCATTTAAAATCATTTAACCTACCTAAACTGATAAGAACCGGTGAACCATCAAACCGGCCACGCCAACTATTGGGGTACAAATTTTGGGAGGTTTATTGCTGTTGGTGGGTTTCGAACACAAGACCTCCTCAGCTTTTGACAACTCCTTTGCCACCAGAGCTATGGTATCCTTTGTGAAGTGGATTACAAAGACTGCATTTTAAAGAATGTGAAAAAGACTTAAGGAAAACCCTGAAATTGCTTCTTTGGGATTCGAACACTTGACCTCTTACATAATTGGAACAACTTCTGCTACTTGATCTGATCCTAATTTATCAAGTTGTGGTGGTTTGAGGTTTATTTATTATAATAGAATACACAAGTTGACACACTTGGTACTCGAACTCACTTCTATATGAAACAAATAAGGGCTTCTTCTAACTTTTGGAAATATGTTGCATTATAGTGTATTTAACATATATTTTCAAAATACAATCAACTCGATTTTTAACCGATCAAACCAATTCAACCATTAAAACCATGAACTGAAGGTCAAAATGGTTTGACCTTTGGTTCGATTTTGAAAACAATAGTATGGATTATATATCAATAGTACAGTCTCTCCTATAAATTTATTAAAATACCCTTAATAAAATAGTATAAGAAATAGTTTTATTAAGGGTATTTTAATAAATTTATAAGGTAGACTACACTTTTAAAGTACAGTTCATTTTATAAAACATTTTTTGATATATACATATATACACACACACGCATATATATATATATATATTATGGTAAAAATGGTACTTATTCTGTTTACTTTTCATAAAACTAATTTGGCTTTTTAACTTTTAAGATATGAATTTTAGACGAAAATTTAACAATCTTTGTGAACATGTCAAATAATGATAAAATATTGATGATTATATCATTTAAGTTTTGATTCAAAACATGTCTAATTTAGATAATGGAAGAGAGAGAGAGAGAGAATTATGGGTGGATAAGGGGAGAAAAAATAATAGTAATTTAACAAACAAATTTATTAATATAGAAAGAGAAACTATGAGGTAAATATAGATGGATTGATAATATAATGATAAAATATGTAAAGGTAATTTAGCAAATGATGTATAGGTAAATGAAAAGGCACTAAGAGAATAATACTAATGAGTTATATCTTTTATGTTTTGACTTAAAATCTTCTAATATGGGCATTAGAAAAAGAGGAGACAAATTTAGGTAAAAAAAAAAAAGAGAGGATATATATAGTAATAATTATAACTTTGCTATTTTACAATTTAAATTGTAAAATAAGGATCTTTAGTTGGGTTGGGGGCCCCAATATTAGGGGGTTCATCCCTCATCCAAGAATCAAGGTTTTATTGTTTGAAACAGTTCAAACTACAAAGCAATTTTTTAAATAGTTATGCATGCAAAGATTAAAAAAGGGATCATAATTGATACATTTTTTTATTTAACACACTTCACAATATACTCATTAAGTAATTATTATTTTTACATTTGAATTAAAGTTGAGGAAATATAAAACTGCAGAATTTAATGACTATATCAATGGATATTAGTAGATATGTTAAATCAGATAATATACCAATAACTATTTTTAAAGAAATTAATAAGATATGATTTACTATTCTATCATATTTATTTTAAAAAAATTTTAATTGATATAAAAATTAAATATTTATTGATATGACTTTT